ATGTATATGTATATGTATATGTATATGTATATGTATATGTATATGTATATGTATATGTATATGTATATGTATATGTATATGTATATGTATATGTATATGTATATGTATATGTATATGTATATGTATATGTATATGTATATGTATATGTATATGTATATGTATATGTATATGTATATGTATATGTATATGTATATGTATATGTATATGTATATGTATATGTATATGTATATGTATATGTATATGTATATGTATATGTATATGTATATGTATATGTATATGTATATGTATATGTATATGTATATGTATATGTATATGTATATGTATATATATATATATATATATATATATATATATATATATATATATATATATATATATATATATATATATATATATATCCCCCGCGCATCGGCCAATATTACCTCCCATTGCTCGGCCAAAGTCCGAAACTTCAGTCCATTTCGGCCTTTGGCCGGCCAATCAGTGGACTGGCCATCGTGGACCGGCCAAAGTCTGAAATAGCTCTTGATTTCGGCCTTTGGCCGGTCCAATCAATATTATCATTTGTTACAACAATTTGAACTTTTATGGCATTTAGAATTACATAGTAGCTTGTTATTTTAACACTTGCAGCGATTTGTTGTGTACTTGGTTGTGCATTGCAGCGAGTGTAATCTTGGCCCCCAGTAAATGATTGTGAATATGCGATGGTTCGTAGTGATTTTTCCTCAGTTCCAACTGTCGACAATAGGAGCAGTTTTTCGTGAAGAATTGAAAGCTCACTTCTAGCATATAGTTGTTTTAGAACACCATGTTCCGTTCCTAATTTGTAGAAACCGCCCTCGACGCTCATGACAACTGCAATCACGCTTCGGGGATCACCGCGACCTCTGTCAATATCTGGAACACGGATGCGTACATTGTCACCTACTTCAGCATCTTTAAATTTTGTATTTAATGTTTTAAGCATCTTAGCAGTGCAAAGAAATCTGGAAAGCAATTCTGTCGGTATTTATTATGCAGTCCAGTCAAGGCGCGGTGATGGGTCTGCTTCATTTGGTATTCCCCTTTTGTTGGGGAAATATGGTTTCTCACGCGTGGACACTATTATTCAACTAACAAGGAACGCGGCAAAGTCTTTTGAACGTTCCGTCTTGTTGCACGTGGTCGGTGACGCCGACTGTCTTTGATTTTGTTCTTTGATGATTGTCTCACCTCGTCATTATGGAGGAGGCTGTCACACACAGTTGTAGCCCGTATATGGAAACTAACATGGATTTACATTTTTTATTTTGACAGCCATCTGCTATGTCTGTCTCATGGTCTGACGGCCCTTCTGATCCATGTGTAATATAGAATGCTATACAAACAAGAGCTAAACAATACGTTACTCACAATGAAACCGCACCCAGAATAATGAAAACGTGATCACAACTTAGTCTAGATAGAACATTGGCCAGGACATCCCGGCCAGTGCGCGCATTGGCCGGCCAATTTACAAAATACGCTGTCAAGTTTAAGCGTTTCGGACTTTGGCCAATACGTCCCGGCCAGTGCGCGCATTGGCCGGCCAATGTACGTAATACGCTCTTAGTGCTAAGTTCTTCGGGCTTTGGCCAAGAGAGCCGGCCAATGCCTACATTGGCCGGCTAATCCGGGGTTTGGCCGCACTTCGGACTTTGACCGTAACATATATATATATATATATATATATACATATATATATATATATATATATATATATATATATATATATATATATATATATATATATATATATATATATATATATACTAGCGTACCCGTCCCCCGCGCGTTGCCGCGGGGATAGAAGTAAGTTTGACGAAATGTATTAGAAGGATTTCACCAACGCGTTACCAATCACATGTTCTTAGACGCGTGACCGTCTTTTCTAAAAGTGAGTTATTTAAATGTAAACAATGCCTGCGCTTAAATAAAAAAATATCGGGACACGGGTTTACCTACACTACCGCATGTAAACATTGAGTGTACATTAATCACTCACCGAAATAATGTTAGAACACACTTCGGTGACCGCCCATGTGTCAGAGACGTACAGGGGTGCTCTCAGGGCCCCCACCCCCCGATTACACTACCGCATAAATAGCGAGACACCTTTTTTTTAAATTATTATTTTTTTAGTTTTAAAATAAACAAGCATTTATCCATACCCTTTAACACGAGTGTTGTATGTTGTTATTTTTTATCTAGATTTTATTATATAGATAGATACTAAGAAGATAGATAGATCTATATCTAGATCTATCTATTTAAAAATCCTAACATCGTTGCTGTGCTACTGTCAATACTGTCATCGCCCGCTCTCGTTAGCGAGAGGAAAATCCCGTCTCAGTCGGCATTAATTTTAAAAATCTAGCCCGCTTATGTTTATACAAACGTGAGCTGTGTCATTGTGAATTGGTATAATCTTGTCAGCAGGAGAGATATTCTGCAACATGTATTCATGGATTGTTGTACTTGCAAAAAGTGTAAAAGTATAAACAATTCTAAAAAGTGCAATTTATTTTTTTATTAAGTAATTTTAATTTCAAACAAAACTTACAAACAAAATCTTCTGAAATAGTCCTAGCACTACTCAAACACACCTCGTGACACCATCTTTCACACATAGTACATCCAATTCAGTTAATTAGACTCCCATTTATACTGTGCTAACACAGAACACGAATATGAACAGAATGGAAAAAAAAATGTGCGTTTGTAGATATTCTGAATAAAGTCCGCTATCGAAGCTACCATTTAATAGCTAAAAAGGGTCATCCATAAATGACGTCACGCTTTTTTGACGATTTTTACCCCCCCCCCTCCCATCCGTCAAACAATTTCACAAAAATCCAGAGCCCCCCCCCCCCCCCCCCCCCCCCACTAAAATGACGTCACACCTCAGCCTACAACCCCCTTCAAAATTGCAGTTGAATTTTTTTTTTAAACATCGATATTTTCCCAAAATCTTGTCTAATTTCTGTCCAAATAGAGTATTTTAATCAATTCCTATTACAATTTATTAAAACAGTTTTCTAAAACGCGAAATATCGTCTAAAATTCTTTTTCTAACATTGCTTTTTTATAGTGTGACGTCACAATATCTAACCTCCCCCCCCCCCATCCCACCCTCCTCCTCATAACACATTTCTATGCAACAATACAAAATATGTGTGCGGCGGCAGCGGATTCGGGCTCGGTGATCTTCAAAGACGGTAAATCAGGCGGCCTCGGCGTTCCACACAAAAGAAAGAAGTTGATCTATCGTCGGCAGTATTTCCATCTGTTTCGAACAAGGTGGCATTCTAAGTCGACACAAATGATGGGGGGAGTTGACAAATCATCAATATGTCTAGCGACGGAAAAATCGGAAGTTTTAACAATGTAAACGAAACGTCTTTGAAGTCTGGACCAAATACCATTGAAAATCGGGTGCGGTAAATTTTTCGCAGAAATCTTCGCATTTCAACACCACCCAGCGTAAGTATCGGGTTGTGGTAAAATGCGAGACAAAAAGTCACGTGACCGACCGTTTTCGCGCCCTTCTCGCGCCCCCGTACCCCCCCCCCCCTTTGCCTACGCCACTAACTATACCACTACCGTTCACCGATGCCCCTTTCTCCCTGAAAGTTGTAAGACACGGACGGTACGATGACTATAGCAGTGCCATTGGTTTTAAATTTGGCAAATTGATAATTCTAAGAAAACCTAAGAAATATTTAAATTTTCTTAAAAAAAAAAACCACGACAAAAAACAACAACAACAAAAAAAAACAACAAACAAACAACAATAAAACACTACAATTTTACCCCGTTGGGTGCCCCCCCCCCCTTAAGTGGATGCCCGGGGCCTGGTCCCCCCATGCACGCCACTGTTGGGAACCCATGATCAGAGGCGTAGCGACCCTTCCCGGCGCCCGGGGACAAACTTTTCGATTTGCACCCCCCTCGAGATTTCGATTTGCACCCCCCCTCAAACTTTCGATTTGCACACCCCCCCCCCCCCTCAAACTTTCGATTTGCACCCCCTTCCACCTTTCAATTCATTTTTCCAACTCATTTTGGCGCCCCCTAAGGTCGGCGCCCGGGGACATATGCCCCCCCCCCCCTCGCTACGCTACTGCCCGTGATACTATGATAACGGAAAAAGAAAATGAACTAGACTTCTAGGTGTTCATTTAAAATATAAAATAATACAAATCTACCATAGATTATAAATATCCAGCCGTAATAATTATTTAAAACAGGTCCTGCATATATTTAATTTAATATATATAGATCTATATATAAAACAAGTTAGGCCCTAGGTCTAAAAACAACCTGAGGTCCTACTCCTAGACATAAGTTTAAGAGAGTTATCGAACGACCATGACCTAAAGAAGGTCAAAGCCCCGGATCTGGTATACACTGCTTGATGGACTCTAATCGCGTAAATAAGTCGCAATGGAAGCAGGGCAAATCTAAAGATTTTAATTTCTAGATTTAGATTAGACCTAGAATTTAGGTACTATTATTTTTTAAAGTGTCAGCATATTAGATTTACTACCTGGGTATCTTATTAAGGGTGTTTAGAAAAAAAAAAACGCTTTTTATGCTCTTTCATCTTCATTCTAATTCTTCGATCTGGATTCTAGATCTAGATCTAGAAATCTAGTCAAGATTCTAGAATCTAGAGTCTAGCTGCTAGCACTCTAACCCTCACTAGATCTAGTAACTATTAACTAGAATCTAGGTCTAGCTAGATTTTAGTCTAGAAATAAAATCTACTTTCACACTATTAAAACTCACTAGAATCTAGTCTAGATCTAGATCTAGATTAGATATTCTCATAATCTCATTTTGACATTTTCATTAGGCTGAAAGGACGCCCTAAGGCCCTACTAGTTACTACTAGATCTACTATAAATAACTATATAGTATATAAAGCCTAATCACTAAGCAATCAGCCTCAGGCAATCATCATAATATCAATATGATAATATTTAGAAATCTAGATTCTAGATCTAGATCTAATTCTAGATCTCTAGACTTTAGTATTAAAATTATTATTGGCCTACTACCTACACTACAAGAGTATAATAGTATAAAGAATAAGATTCTTTGTTACTTTTGTTAGTTTACTCACAGTTTACTGACTGGACTATTCGAATGTAGAAACACAATTTTAATTATGCAACCGGAAAAGCGTTTATTGTTGTGAAAAGAACGCAAAAAACAAAGATGTCATACGTTTAAATTACGGAAGGTACACAAAACTAATTGCGTCATCTTCCGATTTTAGAATGTAAAGAAATGAACTATTTTTATTCAAATTTGATTTAGTTCTATCGATCTACTTATCAAGACTACGCTATGAAATGTGAACGATTTTCTCAGTCTAAAGTAATATAAATTTCTTCAAAAAACTTAAATATCTTTGAACAGCCTAGTTTTTAATCGAATCATTTAAGTCTCTTAATCAGTGTGTTCATTTAATATGGGGTTGTGTTGACTCTTAATGTAGGCCTATATTATTTGGTTTTTCTAATAGTAGCTAGGCCAATGCAAAAATTTAATTTCAGTAAAACAATATAATAGTTACATATTTGGATAGGGGCTGTCAATCTGATTACAGATCAGTTTGAATTTTCAAAATCTGACCATAAACAAAAAAGTTATGAATTTTTTTGTCATTAAAAAACAGCTGTTTTTTCAGACAACCGGGGTAGACCCTGAAAGAGGAAAAATACTGGGAGGGTATGGACCAAATTTTTAAGAGTTTTTCACTAAAAGTGGTATAAAAGCAAGCAGACTTCACCAATTGATGTCATTTTATGATATTTTATAGATTTTTGTATGCCGAATCCAATGATGCTATTTTAAAAAGTGTCTTTTGATTACATAACAGACTTATATCATTGATTATGTAATACCCCCCATTCTTTTTTTTTTACAACATCTGATAATCCGTGTGATAAGAAGTCATTCTTTAAATTAAACAGTGTTTTAAACCATAATATGACATTTGTATATGCTGAAGCTAATGGTGATATTTAAATTGGTCGACCATTATTACAAAACTATAAAGGTCAGGTTATGTAATTCGCACCTTTTGCTCATAATTTACCATGTATTTATTTTAAAATCTCTTTTGCACATTGTCAGTTAACTTAAGTGAATAGCCTACTTAAAGAAAAGATAACTAATACAGTTTTAATACAAAGAGAAGGATGCTATAACAATAGTATATTTGTGATGATGTAACTTCTTAAAATATGTTATGTAATCTATGTGCAATCGTACAGGCCTACTCTATTCCAAAAATATAGGCATATCTTATTATATTTATATTTCTTGTTACTTTAAATGTCATACCATTGATACAACTTTCTTCTATAGAATTAGCCTAGTTACAAATGTGTCTTATCAGAATCAGTGTGCTTTATGACAATTTTGTAATATTTTTAAACACAAAAAAAATTGCTCATTTTTATAATTTTAATAACATAAACATTGGAAGAGAATATTTTTTTTTTTTAGCTTGTACAAGGTAGTGTAAGTTATAGGTCTATAACATAGATTTATATATGCTCAATGTTTATGCTAGTAGTAAGCTTGTGTATTTTGTAGGCCTACCACATTGGGGAAAAAAGCACGTGTTTGAGTGCTTGACTGTGTGTAGTAGATGCTAGACATTTTTTAAGTTTCCGGAGGCGTTTATCACCATCAGCATTTGCCTAGATTTAGTGAAATCAGACGTGGTTAACCAGGTTTTCTGACCAACGAATTTTATTGCCGTATTACGTAAACACGAGGCTAGATAGGCTAGTCGGCCAACCCGACGAACGTGTCAGACGAATATTATGTAATTTTAGAGACAAAAGTCTGGGAAGATTTCCTGATCTATGCCCGAGGGTTAGTAACATCAACTCCACAAAGTGAAGGGGGAGGGAGGTGGGGTATGAAACCACCGCGAGCCGCTCGGGCACCGTACGGGTGTTATACAACATCAAAGGCGCCGACCCTCGGCATGTCGCGTCACGGAGTAGTGGGGGCGGGGTGAGGCTATGGATGTTACATACGGTGTACGGTGTTACAATAGTTACATACCGTGTAGGATGGTCAGTGACTCCCCATACCCACCCCATCCCATTTTGGTCGATTTGGCAAGCTAGTAACCTCCACGTTGTTAAGGGTTTTAAAATTTTTTAGTCAACCGAAAAAAAAGAGCCCGGGGTAAAATTTAATTCATTTTTTAAAGCCATTTTTACGAAAAAGTAATGTACACAATAATGAAACGTTACGGCACGCGAATCACGTCAGCATTGTTTGGTCGGGTCGCAGCTATCCGGATTAATTTCTAAAGAAGATTAATTTTGACGAATAGTAAATACTATTACGACTTTTTTTTTGCCGTTTCAATGGTTTAAAACAAAGTTATGAAACATGCCTGTCTACTTAAATATAAAATAGCAATACCCGACGAGTCAAATACGGGAACACACGTATCTATCTTTAGAAATTGTTTATAGTCTCATCCAATCGGATCAACCGCCTAGCGTCACGTGACCACACACTCGGCTGTGCTACACGATGTGTAGATCTCGATTCAGTCGGACGGCGGCCAACGCGTTAATTTTTATTTTCGTTCCGTCTTAAAATGTATGGACGGCTTTATTATGAGGTGTTATAATACATGTCATACATTAAAATAATCGGTGGGATTTCAGGAATACAGCTCAAGGTTCAAATGTAAAATAGGTCAAATAATAGACCGGGAAAATTAGTTCAACTTTGCGGTCCGATATCTCCCGAAGTATTTAACTTATTTTGACCACGAACCTTGAGCGTTGTACGTCTACATTTAATCTGTTCGTCTGCCAAATTTGATTGTTGTAGTACGTAAACTCGATACGTCTATAAAAAAATTGTAGCGCGTCATATTTAAAACACAGCGATTCGAAGCACAGCCGAGCGGTTCAGTCGGACAGCGGTCGGCGCGTCATGTTTTGATTTTCGGTCCACTTCAAAGTCTATATGCGTCCTTATTATAGGCCCTAATATGACATATCATACATATTAATAAACGTCGAGATTTCAGGAATACAGCTCAAGGTTCAAATTAAAAAACGGTTCATTAATAGCCCAAATAACTTAGTTCAACTTTGCCGTTCGATATCTCCAAAAGTATTTAACATATTTTCCCCAAGAACCTTGAGCGTTATACGTGAACATTTAATCTATTCTTCTACCAAGTTTCACTGTTGTAGTACGAAAACTCAAAGAGTCTATAGACTCTAAGTAACACCCCTCTTTTAAAAAGGTGAAAAAGCCTCCCCCCTAATCGGCACGTCGCCGCGGGGGGTAAAAAATGCGATTAAATCGGCGATTTCTTCAACGTCTGAAATAATAAAGAAATCAAACTTATACAGTTAAAAAGGTTGTTCAATTACGAACAGAATGATGTATAACATGTTAATATAAACACAATAAAAGCATGCAAAAAACAGAGTTAAACATGCAGGGGGTAGGGAAAAGCCGATTTGTCCGATTTTCTCGGCAGCGGCATTGGCCTAGCTACTAATAGGTATTGGTAGCCTAAGTTCTTGGAAAAAGGGGTGTTACTTTGAGTCTATAGACTCTTCGAGTTTTCATTTTACAACAGTGAAACTTAGCAGAAATAAAGATGAGATGTAGAGGTATACAGTGGAGGGTTCATTGTCAAAATGTGTTAAATACTTTCTGAGATATCGTATAACAAAGTTGAACTAAGTTAATTAAAGACCGATTTTTTAATTCGAACCCTGCGTTGTTTTGCTGAATTCTGGACGTTATTAATATGTACGAGGCGACCCGCTGCATATCATACACCGCTATTCAGTAGTTTATTTTCTACTTTTCAGTAATTCATAATTTGTGAATTCGACAGTACCAATGCTGCCACTGAAAATATCTGCTTTAAAACACTATCAGTAGGTCGTTAAGGACGATACTACCCCCACCCTCCTTTCCCCCAACCCCTACCCTACACCCCTCTCCCCCGTGAAAGCAGCCTCCTCTTAGTTACCTCCCCTAAGTTTAAAATCGTTTCAAACTAAATTATCTGCCCCTAATAGCCGTCACTAAACCCGGCTCCATGAATATAAACATTTAGCGTGAACCACAGCTCACCAGACCATGTAGGAGTGGGGTGGTAGGGAGCGCGCTTTCCGCTTGTTTTCTAGCGTCTCCCAGAAGAGAATTATATATATAGATAATGTGTGGTGACCTGTCAAAAGAGCGCCGACATAAGAGCGCACTAATTTGCAGACATAAGAGCGCAAACTAAAGATTAAAAAAACCATATTTAATAAATAGGAACAAGAAGATTAACTCAGATCAGAAGGCATTGTTTGATGTTAACTCTTTATTGTTTCATTAAAAAACTAATTGTTCAGTTTCTTTAACTAAAAAACTGGTATAATCAACATAAGTCCAATTATTTAAAACGCTATCTAATAACACATACAAAGATTTTAAATGTTA